GGGGTTACCTTTAATAATGCGATGAGACAGAAGGAAAGGAACCCCATCAGAACCTACTATACTCCACTGTCTATGATCTGGAATCCCTGCTGTACATTTCAAATTCTCTAAAACAATTTGAACAGATTTGAATAAACATGGATTAACAGATATTGGATTTCCCATTTGAATTGTTGGAGGACTACCATGGGAATTTGATAAAGAGGAATAAACATCAACCTGGGATCTGGAATAATCAGAAAAGTTCTTCTTGTTTTTTAAAAGATCGGAAACGATGTCCTACGTAGAATTTAATCCTGGATGTTGCTGTTGTAACAAAACAATTTATCCTTTTTTCGATGAAATTTTCTCGAAGTGATCTAAATAAATTTTCATGGAAATTGACGAATTCTACAATAGCACTGTATTTATCAGAAATGTTAATGTTGTAAAACCAGCGTCTTGGAGAGAAATTATTTACAAGTTGTAAATCTGTCGTCAGACTAGGGAAGAAGTGGACAACAGTAGTGACATAGCTCAGAATGGCTTTGGCATCATAGCGTACCCTCCAGTTCCTTGCTAAGACGGTTGTTATCGAAATATGTGATGACGTCATGCTGAAATGGAATGGTTATTGGAGTGGTTGCATGCTCTTCTATCCATTTCAGAACAGAAATGTAACTTCCTGCGGGATGAGCGCTGGAGTACATATCATAGACTGTTATCCTATTTGACATAAGATTCAGACTAAATGAAAATGACATGATTATGTTCGAAGATACAAGACAGTACAAATGTTCAGTAGCAAAAAACAATCTGAGTTTTTTCTGTAGGTGATAAATCTCACATCTGTTTTCCACACAAAGACAATCAGAATGAAGAGATGGCGTTGTTTCTTTCAGAAACAGGTGCAGATGTTAAAAAAAAATAATTTTTGTATTGGCTAAATATATTTTCATTAAAATCGTCGTTCATCTCTCTGCTTTCTCTAGTGCCAATGGCTTCCTCAGTTTTAATTTCTTTCTCATCAGAAATGTTGTTTGTTTTAATTTAATTAATAACTTGCTCAACAAGTTCGTTTTCAATGTCTTTTCTATTGGATATGTGTTTTTTTTCGCTGTATGCAGCACATGCTGTACACAAGTTTACTGATCTTTTGCACGGATGGCCATTTTATTTAGAACTTCAACAACTGAAGTTTTGAATTTTTTGCTGGAGAGTCTGTATATTTTATAAATCTCATCTTTGCATCTCAAGTTTGCATGTTGTTTACAGCTACAAGCTGGCATTTTTATCCTGAAAATAATTAAATTTGTTTAATAACACCCTTCACCCCCCACCCCCAACACACACCCATCATATAAAATAATCAAATAAATTATGCATTTTCTGTCTTTAAAATATTATAATATAATATATTATAATATTATTTTATTCCGTTTGAAAAATCATAATCAAAATCTTCCCTTATTGATGACCATTATAACTTTCATATTAACGATTCATTTATGTATTATTAATCAAAATGCGTTTTCATACTTTACAAGAAGATGACGGATAAATTACCGTCATTCGTGTTTCTTCTGTAACTACGTCGAAGACAGCATATCTGGTGTAGAGCGCACAGGAGAGAATTGAACCACTGAAGCTCCAGTGGGTTAGTTTTCATGATTTCTTTTTTTCCACATAAATACTTAAATCATCGAATCTCCAACATTTCATTGTCAACAACAAACTTTTCAATAAGATGAGCGCCCCACACGCATCGCTTTTAACTGTTTAAACCTTTTTTATGTCACGCTAAAATCAAGGTATACTTTGTTTGAGTATTTTTTATGCATGGATGAAATTGTTGACAAGTACTCAGAATGCGACTCTCTCATTTTTAGCTCACCTGAGCTGAAAGCTCAAGTGAGCTTTTCTGATCACATTTTGTCCGGCGTCCGTCTAGCTGTCCGTCTGTCTGTCTGTAAACTTTTCACATTTTCGACTTCTCAAGAACCACTGGGCCAATTTCAACCAAACTTGCCACAAATTATCCTTGGGTAAAGGGGATTCAAATTTGTTCAAATGAAGGGCAACTCCCTCTTTCAAGGGGAGATAGTTAGGAATTAGTGAAAAAATAATGACATCATTTAAAAATCTTCTTCTCAAGAACCATAGGGCCAGGAAAGATGAAACTCATGTGGAAGCATCTTCAGCTAGTGTAGATTCAAGTTTGTTCAAATCATAACCCCCGGGGGTAGGGCGGGACCACAATTGAGGATCAAAGTTTGACATAGAAATATATAGGAAAAATCCTTAAAAATCTTCTTCTCAAGAACACCAAAGCCATGATGAGTCATATTTATATGGAAGCATCCTCAGGTAGTGTAGATTCAAGTTTGTTCAAATCATGACCCCGTGGGGTAGGCGGGGCCGCAATGGACTATCAAAGTTATATATAGAAATATATAGGAAAAATCTTCTTCTCAGGAACAGCAAAGCCCAGATTGGTCATATTTATATGGAAGCATCCTCAAGTAGTGTAGATTCAATTTTATTCATATCATGACACCCGGGGGTAGGGTGGGGCCACAATGGAGGATCAAAGTTTTACATAAAAATGTATAGGAAAAATTTTAAAAATCTTCTCAGGAACAGCAAAGCCCTGATTGATCATATTTATGTGGAAGCATCCTCAGGTAGTGTAGATTCAAGTCTGTTCAACTCATGACCCCCGTGGGTAGGGTGGGGCCACAATGGAGGATCAAAGTCTTAAATAGAAATATATAGGAAAATGTCTTCTTCTGAAGAACTGCAAACCATGATTAGTCATTTTGATATGGAAGCATCCTCAGATAGTGTAGATTCAATTTTGTTCAAATGATGACCCTCAGGGGTAGGGTGGGGCCCAATGGGGGATCGAAAGTTTTACATAAGAACATATAGAAAAAAATTTCTTCTCAAGAACAGGAAAGCTATGTTTAGTCATATTGATATGGAAGCATCCTTAGGTAGTGTAGATTCAAGTTTGCTTAAATAATGACCCCGGGGATAGGGAGGAGCCACAATGGGGTTACAATTTTTAGAAAGGAAAATATGGGAATTTTTTTTAAAAATCTTCTCATGTACAACAAAGCCATTTGTTATATTGACATGGAAGCATCATCAGGTAGTTTAAAATTCAAGCCCCCCCCCCCCCCCGAGTAATCTTTTCAATACTGAACTCATTTGTGCTTTTGCCTAGCCAGTGTGCTCAGGTGAGCGATGTGCCCCATGGGCCTCTTGTTATTTTTAGGATTTTTTTTCAATATAGCTTGATAAAGCTATTCTTAATAGCTTTATCAAGCTATACATCTAGATATAACTATATAGCTTAATCAAGAGATTGTGCTGGACCTGTCATAAGGAAATCAAATTCGAGCATTTAGTGTTGTTAAATAGTATTGTCTATTGACGTACGTATGTGAATTTTCTTTTTCAAAGCCATATTTTTTATGTTTGTTAGTGTTTAATTTATTGATTACTTGTAGTGTAGGTGAAATTCAAACTTTGTATCAAGATAATGTCAAAAAAAGCGTACATTCTAATACTTGAACCTATCTTACATATCTTTGTTCCTATATTTTAATATAATTGAACTTAATCAATTAAAGAAACGTATAAATGAATTAAAGATATGTTAAAATGAACAAGCCACAAATTCGAAGAATTGTGGTCCCCCGCTTTCGGTGTCTTAGTGGATGGAATGTCTTTATTTATGGCCTGTTGTAACTGTCTTGTTTGTCTGTGCATCATGCATTCAAAAAAGACATAAATTATTGAATTAATAACAGTTATGGCAAAAATTATAGCTTCTCAAAACTACATCAAACTTCCTTATCAAGGTCATGAGGTCAAATAACATAATACAATGCAAAAGGTCTTGTCACAAGTAATGAACATTGTGAAAAAAAATATCAAAAACCAGAGTATACAATAGAAAAGGTCTTGAAACAGGGGATGCATATGTTAAATGTAAATGCCATATCTTCTCTCAAACAAAAGTTATCAGTAATGTTAAAACTTTTGAAAATTAGGTCAAATGTCAAGGTCATGATTTAAAAAACATAGTACATTTTGAAATGCTTGTCATAGGTAATGCACGTGTCAAATATAAATGCCCTATCTTCGCTTCTTTAAAAGTTAACAACACTGATAAAATGTTTGAAAATTAGGTCAAACTTAAAGGTCGTGTCACGTGGTCAAATATCATAGTACATTTTGACACAGGTAAAGCACTTGCCAAAAATGAACGCCCTATCATATGTCATTCAAAAGTAATCACCAGTTAAAAAGGTCAGATAGATATACCTAATGAAGAATCTTATTTTTAAGCGTTTGCACGCACATGAAAATAATATAAATATGGGAATAGCTAATGTACTTAGCCCGAATTCATTTGAAGAGTTACAATCAATAACGAAATAGTTTCAATTTTTAAATATCTACAATTGATCCAAATATATGTAGATGTACAATTGATTTATAGATATATTAACAAGTATTTGAATAAACGCTCATATTGTGTTCTCTAGATAGTTGCATTAAATTCAATTTTTTAAAATTAAATTGAAAAAGAGCATTTTTAATATATATGATGTATAAATGAATCATTACAGTAGATGATGACATGTGAATAAAAAGATAATCTTGCGAGTCGGCATACATTAAAGTATTTTACTCAATAGCTTAACGTGCATATTCTTTACTGGATAGTTTGGAAAATAAGAAGAGATACACAATACACTTGAAATATATTGAATTTATTGTTAGTAAGTACTAGTATTTGCTTTACCAGTTTTCATCTTGCTCTGAAAGATCACCTAGCACTGACCAGAAAAAAACACACTGGACTTTGTTTTTGTCATTTTATTAAGTTAAAATTATCATTCATTTCAATGTTTATAAGTATAAATGTATATGTATATACAACTCGTGCTTTTTTCTTGAAGGTATGTAGAAGATGACGGTATCGGTTATCAAGGTTTAAACAGATAATGGAACCTGCTTTTGTTATCCAAAAAAGTCTAGAATGTTCACGTTGTGGGGAATATGTCACTTATTATTGTAAGACATGCGAATCTAATCTTTGTGGAGAGTGTAAGAGAAAACATTTTAATAATACTGATACTGGAAACCACAGTGTTGTGATATACCGTGGAAAGTTTAAAAAATGCATTGAAGAATTATGTGAAGAGCACCCTAAAGAGAAGTACATACAGGTCTGTAAAGTTTGTGAAGTACCTGTGTGTAAAACGTGTAAGAGAAAGAATTGCCATAAGAATCACAAATTTCAGGATTTACAAGTGGAGAAACAAAACAAAGATCTCGAGACGTCTACCACAGAACTCCAAAATACAATTCTTCCCCAATATCGTGGAGTTCAAGATGAGATTATTAGAGAAAAAGTAGATTTTAAAGAAAAAGCGGACAAAATTATGGGGATAATGGAATCTAATGCACATATTTTGGAAAACTACATCAGAAAGACTTTGGAGGAAAACCGATGTAGGTTAAATCGGGAGTTGCAAAAATTTAGCAAGGAAGAAAAACGTGTAGATCATCATATCACTGAGTTACAAAGCTTGTTAGACAGCTACGAAGAATCTACGAGCAAACCAGCGGAATTTTTGCTTCTTTCAAAGAAAAGACCACTACCTGATTGTATGCGTAAGTTTATCATACCAAAGGTGCCCTCCTTTGTAGCTGAGGTGAACATAACAAAAGATGATGTAGAAAAACTACTTGGTAAACTCACAGTGGAGAAAAAGGAAATAAAACCCTCTTATGAACACCTTTACCGACTGAAATTAAAAGCGACAAAAGAAATTACAGTATCAGTCTCGGTTGAGAATATTCGACATATCTCTTGTGTGGGAATCAAAAACTGGGTATGGGTTAGTGGTAGTGAATATTTAGTATTAGTGGACAAAACAGGAGATAAACTAAATGAATATGAGATAAACTCTGGTTTTGGTTGTCATTCAGTAGCGTCAGATTGCAGATTGTACTATCTCAGTAAAAATGGAAATATCTGTACAGATAGGAAAAAAGATGTAATAAAAGCTTCACAAAGATGGAAAATCTGCAGTATCTATTGCTCTTGTAAAAACAGTGCTATTATCGTTGGCATGAAAAGAGGCTCAGAAGCAAAGCTGATGAAATATGATAACTCTGGAAATCCAACTGCAATAGTTCTGTATGACAGTAAAAGAAACCAATTGTTTATTTCTCCAGATTATATCACTGAAAACTGTAATGATGATATTGTAGTTTCTGATTCTGGAAAACTTGCTGTTGTTGTGACAGACTACGGTGGAAACCATCGCTTTAGCTTCACTGGATGTTCTTCATCCATGTCAAAATTCAACCCAAGGGGAATCTGTACCGACATACTTTCAAATATTTTGGTGTGTGACATTAAAACAGAAACGATACAGATATTAAACAAGGACGGTACATTTATCCAGTATTTGCAGACAGATGACCAAGACTTCAGATGCCCATATAGTCTGTGTTATGACCTGGAAAATCAGCTACTTTGGATTGGTGGACTGGACAGTAATATGTTAATTGCTTACAGATATTTAGAACGTCAACTCTAAAGGCATTTATTCTCATGAATGTTTCCAAGATTTTTAGGAAAAAGGTGAAGATAAAGAAAGTGATGACCTAATAAATTCTGTAAAACTTAAAATCGTGAAAAGGGGAAAAAATAAAGACCCCTAGAAACACCAAAGAGTTGACCAGGTGCCTTGTAGGAGTAAGCATTTCCTGTCGACACCGGTCAAATTCGCCGTGAGCCGATTAGGAATAACAAATTATCGAATAGAAATCACATTTTTCGTATAAAAATAACAACTTATCGAATATGAATCACATTTATCGAATAGGAATGATATGTTTTAGAATAACAACATTTTTGAATAGGAATAACAAAAATGTATAATAATGAAACGTTTAACACGTCATACATTACTATGGAATGTATTCTTAGTAAAAGTGAATGGGTGGATGGATCAATTTTTTAATTGTATCGTGGCCCAATTTTTTTATCATGCGCAGGTTTTTCTTAATGCTAGTTTTTCTTTACATGTGTGTATGTAGTAGAGGTTTAGTTGCGTATCTTTTGTAATCGTTGTTTCCGTAAACTTTCTTATCTTTGGCCACATAATTAGTGTTTTTGTGTACATACATCTTGTGTTCTTTTAATTTTATGTGTGTGTGTGTGTAATAAAGGGCCATGATTACATTGAACAACACATGTACAACATTAAAGCACGTAGTATTGGAAAGGGACAGGGAACCTGCCTTCCATTTTTTCTGAATGTATATTTTTACGATCAATTAAATAGTTTTGCGATCAATTTAGTATGAAATTGTTAGTTGAAAGGCTGGTCCCCCTCTTTTTTATCCAGTATATTCAAAGCCCTCCTATGTTCATGCTTCTTAACCACCAACCCCACCCCTAAATAAGATCTGGATAATCCTCCTCTTTTTTTTTGCTTGTCTAAGATTTTTTTTTTCAAGTTAGTTGCCCCCCCCCCCCCCCCCAACTTCGATGCTACGTATCTGACATTTATTATTTTTAAAAATAGATTTAGATATTCCAAGTTAATACTTGTTATATGTTATATTATTACCATGTTTTCTCATTGCGTTTAGCTAGACTTCTACAAATAAAAACAAGCAAGATACCATGCTTTGCTTAACGAATATGTATTCAGTAAATCATATTATGAAACAATTATTGCTGTTTTTTAGTCAATACAATGAATTAGCCACCGTCGAAGTACAATACTCACTTTGCCCTTCAGGCTCGGTGAATATTGCATTCCTTGGATGACTAAATCATCGTACTGATCTCAGAAACGGCAATACTCGTATATGGTTACCCTGTGATACTGTTGGCTAAGATATAAAACTCCTTAGTTTTTTTAAGAATGTTTTTGTTGTAAAACATCATGTTTTGTTGATCTTATTTACATTTGGTGCAATCTTTGAGTCAATCGTAATTAAAAAAAAAAATAAGGAAATAAAACATTTGGTATATCTTTCCCCAGAATCATACCTTCTTCCAAAATATCGAGAATTATGTTAATTCATTATTAAAAGGTGGGGTGTTCGTTACAGCTGTCATATTGTAAATTTAGATTTTAAGTACTACCATCCTGTAAGTTCAAAATTTAAATATGCCAAAACACTTCATTAATACATATCATATGTACATTGTAATATATTTGAACTGACAATTGAATACTTTATGGGAAGCTATATATCAAAAATAAAAAAGACAAATATCAATAAAGGAAAGAATGATTTTAAAATATTTTTATTCTTATATTTGTCTTTCTTTAGGACACAAAAGAATAAAATAAAATCGTACCATTAAGTTATGGAAATGATAAAGTAGAAACGAATTCGATTCAAAATAACCAAAGTTCTTAGATGTATCTGATCAAAGATGTGGAACATGCATATATGTATAAAAAATGAGAAAATACATGTTATTATAAATAAATCAGATGTATCATAAAAGACTGGTGGCATGGATGTGGTTGACTCTGTTGTTTGACGCATCGTCCATGGCAAATTTTTCAGAATTAGATAAAATCTGCAATCAATGAATTTTTAAACAAAAAATTGTCAAGTAAATATATATCCATGACATCAAGCAATATTGCTTTTGCATGGTTAAGTATTATAACTGGTTTCAGTAAGTTATGTCTATATATAGATATGGATAAGTCAAATTAATTAAAAATTTATAATTGTTATGCTTAGATGATAAATGTAAAGAATAATTTGAATATTTCTTTCTTTGATATCAGTCTTTAAGCCGTGTTCTATCTTTTAAAAGAAATAATTTGCAACTGTGACAAACATACAGAATGTAACAGAAATTATTCAAATGACACACCCCTTTAGGCACTATTGGACTCATTCCATTGCTATGTTCTCCTACAGGATATGTAGAGTATTCTGGGTACATATTTGTATTGTCATTCCCAAGCATAAGAAATCCCTAGAAAACGAAAAATAAACAGGTTTGTAAATTTCAATGTAATATACACCATTTCAAAAATCAGATGAAAAAAATTATCTTAAAGATAACACTAAATCAACATCTTACATGTGTATATGAAGAAATGATGAAATATGTTTTAAATTAATAAGTTGAGCTTACTGAGGACAAAAATGCTTACCCCTTGTTTACTGTTGGACCTCGAACGTAGGAAATAAATAACGGCAAGAATAATAGAAAAAACTAGGCCGCTTATAAGAATAAAGAAAACCCCGGCCAGATTACTTAATGAGAGTGATTTCTTCTTCTTCTTGCTACCCTGTTTGTATTATAAATAAAATAATACTACTGTTACATTCATTCTATTAAACATACTAACAACAACGTACATGTATTCAATGAAATTCAATGATCTTCTCTGTTCTCTGATATGCAAGACACCATACTGATAAATTTAGCTTTGATCGAACAATTAAGCAAGTCTTTGTTAACTATGGTCTTACGTATAATACCTGATTTTCCTCCTGAACACCACATTCACCTTTTTCGATCCACCACCGTCTTTTCATTTTAATTAAAGACCCATTTTCTTTCAATTGAAGTATTGCTATAGACACCATTTCCCTGCAGTAAAGTCTTCATTCATTATACGTGAATCGTTAAGTATAGCTATGATTAATAAGCAAATTATCCAAATTATCAATTCTTATTGAAAGCTACATATTTGAAAGAATAAACAATTTACGTTAGTTCTTGATGTTTTCTAGTTTTTGCGGTTGCGATCCCGTATCCTTTGGTATTGAGTGGCGGGCCAACTTGCATTACGTCACATGGTTCTCTCTGACTAAAGTATTCATTATAAACCGATTCCAATAAAAATGCATATTTTCCTTTCATATCCCGGACTTTTCGAACACCCTCCTCTGTTGTCTTTACAAAAACACTTGGATAAGCGGTGGACATATACGCCCACATCTTTTGATATGTTGGAACTTTTGATTCCTATAGTTATTGAAAAGAATAAGAAAAATAGCATCGTTTTATATATCTAGCCTTAGTTCTTGTGTACAAACATGGAAAGGAAAAATCGACATACCTTGAAAAAAGATTGTGTAGATCCTGAGGACAGTGTACCGTAAGCTATTTCTGTTTGGGCTGCAAGGTCGTCGGCGTTTTGGATTGGAGTTAATAGTTTATCTATTGTGAGAAATGCTGCTAAATTTGCTGTATAAGATGAAATGACAATCAAAACAGCAAACCACCAGGTTCCTCCTATGATACGTCCAGCCACCGATCTGTTTAAAAATTATAATATCCTTTATTGCTAGACGTTGCTTTGTAAAAGGTTAAACTTAACTGTTCTACATACAAAAGAAGAATGATTTATTTTTCACCCTATCTTGTTAAATATCTAAATATATTTTAATTTTTTACTTACCTTGGACACGTGTCGCTACCCTGTAACATTAATGCCCCCATGGTGAACCAAAGAGAGCTCTCTAGTGTGAACTTATTAACAACGCCATTATCCATTCGGAGACACTTCCGCCTCCATTCCGCTGGACTAAAACGACTGACGATGAACATTCCAACACTGACACAGAAATATCCTGCTATTATACACATCCAAAGGGGGATAGAAAATGGTTTCAGAAAAGAAAAGACACCGGGTTTCTGAATCTCAGGTTTTTTAATCATAATGCTTATTCCACTATTCATGAAAGGTTTAGAAAAAGCTATATCCTCTTCTCTTTGTTTTGTAATTGTCAAAGGAGCAACTGCTAAGTCTGCTTTCTGAAACATACACAGGAAAGAAATGTCGTTTGTTGATATCCTTCAAGAGGAAATATTTTGTCTTATTCTGGGATTTTCATGAAGTCCCTAGATAAGACAAAAGAGAGGAAATGGATAGGCATGTTTCTGTTCGAAAAGAGTTTTCCCAAAAATGTTGAAATTTTGCCAAATATTTGATAGTAGAATTGGTTTTAAAACGGCATTTTATTCGCATACGGTTACAATATTTGTTTTAAAAATTCATTGGAGGTATGGTAATAAAGCATGAACATGCTGATAAATGTATATACACTCTACCAAAAACCTTTACTCTACAAATTTATATATATCAAAAAGTACAATCATTATAATTTATATGTTTCTTTTGGGAAAGTTTTAACTGTCTGCAAAAATTGCTTATCTATCAGATGGACTCACCCCCTGAACAAGTTCTCCAATTAAACCAGTCCAAGTTCCATTTTCTTTGGCTCCGTACACAGAGTCTTTATTTGGTCTTATTGTGTACTTGAAGTTTCCACAAAGTTCCGAGACGGCGGCAATAAGATCCACACAATAACCTGAACATTTTATTATATAGGAGTGCTGTTATTCGGAATATCAGAATCATCAGGTACTTGATTTTTACATTAATTCATATGATTTTTTTTTTCTCTCTTTTAAAATTTTTAATTAAAACATATTCACATTATATATATATATATTAGGGATGTCAACGAGTACCCGGTTAACCGGGTACTCGATCGAACGTCCGAGTATCGAATACTAAATATGGTACTCGGTTACTCGGAATTGTATTTTTTCTTATTTCAAAGTAATATTTTTATCAAAAACTTTTCAAAAATAACTTAAATATGCATACGGTAATTAGCGTGTCGTCATCTACACCTGCCAAACAACCGTTATCGCCTTTGGCTCTGTATATATTATCAGTAATTAGTGACCAATCACCTGGTACACAGCTGTTTTCACTAATTATGGTCCTTAATTTTTGGATGGCTTTAATGATTGTTTTCAGTGAACATCGTTTAAGTATGGTCTATTATCTTTAAATCATTTTTATATCTAATTAATATACGGCAGCAAAATTGGACATGCATAGAAATGCCGTTTACCCTCTTCAAAAGTGAAGCAATATTTAGAAATAACTAAAGATTAAAAAAATGTTGAAAGTCAGTTTCCGTAGTAAGTTTAGTGTGTATGGGGGAAACAACAAACATATGGAATAATATTAGACAAGCGATCCCAACAACGTCCGTTCCTTCCCTTCCGCTGGTCAAATCTGCGTAAGAGATTGTCCTCCTTTTGCGTTGATGAAATAGATCCTAAACAAGAACTGTAAACCATTTGTAATTTTTGATGTATTAATTTTGTCTTTTGTGTTTATTTTATAAATAAATTTAGTACCAAATTTCCCTTGGACTCGATTGTTTATATACATTTATAAACGTGATAAAAAAAGCTTTGGGTTTTAACATAGCTTAACGGGGCTCAGGAAAATTAACACACTTGTATTTTCATTTTTACCGAGTACCCGATCGGAAAAACATCCGAGTAACCGATTATCAAAAATTGACCGATTTGATATCCCTAATATATATATATATATATATATATATATATATATATATATATATATATATATATATATATATATATATATATATATAATGGTGAAAAATTATAAACGTGTAAGTTGTAATTAGCAATTATAAATGGAAAAATACCCTCGTACAGGTCGTTTGGGTTCTTTACGTTCCGTCTGTTTGCTGGGTTTTCATATTCCTTTTTGTACTGAAGAAAAGGTCTCTCCTGTAGATAAAACATATGTATAATTACCGATTCCTGAAATCATTCTCAAAATAAGATTCATTTTCACAACAGGTATAGATAGACATCTATTTAAAGACATAACTTTAATGCAATTGGAATGAAGCATCTAGAGCTATAAACAATAATAATGCCTGAACTTTAATACAAACTGATAAATTTTACTCACAAAAATACTGGTGATAACTAAGGTCTTCAGCTCCCCATCATCTGTCTCTTGTGTAATATTGGTTCCCTCTGCGACAAAACCGACATTGTCTACCCATCTGCCTATCTGTGATGGCATATTGATAAAAAAAAAAAGAGACCAGATTTTATTGGGATCTAGAAATTTCAAGTGTTCTCCCTAACTTATAAACGACGGGCCACGTACTATGAGGAGCAAAAAAAAACCCCCAGACTATTAGGCCATTACCAAAGCGTCTTAGAGGCAGTTAGTTGACTTCATAAAATCAGAAAAGGATTTTTTTTAAATTTCAAATTGTGTCATGAAAATTATTCAATGTAAAAGCACTTAAGTTACGAAACAGATTAACAGGTACAAATTCGATGCATATTTATGCTTATTACTTGCCTTTGTTGGATTTTCTTTGAATCCCACTTTATATACCCCAATAGAGTAGTTAGATCTGCGCCCATGTTCATCAATAGATATGTCACCAGTAAGTCCATTAATGGAAATCTGTAAGTTAAGATAAATTATCCTTTCACAATTCGTACAAATGTACCTTTCATGCAATCTTAAATTTCTGTTATCAATTAGCAAATATATGATTATCAGTTACTTAATGTGAAGTCAGAATATTCTACTGAGAGGGGGAAATTCATTTTCTTTTTTTGGGACTTATATATATATTTTTTTTTATAAATCAAGAATATCTAAAAGGATTATGTAGCTGATATAACTCTTTGATTCGTATGCCAAAGGAGAAGCCTTGTAATTATTTTAATGCAATTTAAAATAAATGCTTTATTTGTCTGGAATATTTTCATGGCATACATGTAACTAGGTTTCATTGACAAACCTTTTTGAGATTATTCATTATATTTAGTCCATGCATCCATGGTCTATTTCCAGTGCAGGGTATACCTTGAGTAAGGTCATAGTTGTATACTTTTGCTCTTCTAAAAGTAGATCTGAAGACTTCGGAATTGTTTTTTATCATAGATTGAATGGTTTCACGTAATAGGCTCACTGTGTCGACCATGAGAGCAGATTCCACCTAAAAAAAAAGTGTCAAATATTTGAAATGTATTAAATTTATTAAACGTTTATTCAGCAGAAATTATACTTACCATTGGAACATGTGCAACTGATCATTTCAGAATAATTTGTCAAATATTTTTATATATATTTTATATATTTTTTATGTAATGCATGTAACCTTTACCTAACTACTGCACTATTGTAAAAATCTTAAAATCTTGGAAGTGCAACATTCTTAACGACGGTTTGTACTTGAGGAGCATCACAGGGTATTCTTGGCACAAATGCGTTGCTTGTAGCCAAGAAATCTGTCAGGATTCTAGCCGGGGTTATTTGTATATGTGCAAGTCACATGACTAAGAAGTAAAAATGTTCTCTGGGCCAAGACTTTTAATGTTTAGGACTATGGATGTTTATATTTTTCACACTCAGCACACACATTTCTCACGATAAGATGTGTCAGAACCTTCATCCAATTACATTCCAAAAGATTAAAAATACCAGAATTTGAATATTTTTTGGGCAAGATGGCTGTTTATTTTTAAACCTAGTTTAAAGTATGCCTTTTAGAAACCGAGTAGAGACAATGAAGTCAACCAAGACATCTCTATAGTAAAAATCCCTCTAGGTTAAATGATACAATAAGTGATTTTATTTGACAGAAAAAAAATGTTCCATCAATTTCCTTTGAAAATTCTTACCCTGATTGTTTCCCCTGCCCCTTTCCAAATCGAGATTGGTAATTGCCTCCATTCCTCCAGAAAATTTTGGACAATTTCCGACTGATGATCTACTAGTTGAAATCCTGTGATGTTCACACCGCCATGTGAAAATCGCTCTAAACCATGGTTTACTATATCCTGTTTAAAAATGAGACACATGTTTTAAAACTCTTGATATGAAAAAGAAAATAAATATTTTTACGTTGGGTTTAATTTAACTGGGGGTCATACTTCTTTTTTACTCAAGTGAAATGGCATACTTTGTAATTTGGTGAAAATATTTTCAACAGTCAAACCACCTGCACAAAATCTTGATAGGAAAAAGAAAATAAATATTTTTACGTTGAGTTTAATTTAACTGGGAGTCAGACTTCTTTTTTACTCAAGTGAATCTCATACTTTGAAATTTGATCAAAATATTTTCAACCGTCAAACCACCTGCCCTGTAAATTCTATTCTAAACATGTTTATGCTATAAGGAATCTAAAATATAAACACACCTACCAAACTGCCAAGTAAATATGAATATCCTTTTTTATTCATTCCGACGTTTCGTATCTGTGGAAAAGACATAATATTTAGAACCATATTTGATATACTACTTTCAAAATATATAACAATATTAAAATAAGCATTAAAGATTACTAAACCTGTTGTAAAACAGCATCGTAAGCAGTTTCATTTGACAAATCAAAGACAATATGAATTGGATTAGTGTCGTTTGAATGTCCATGTTGTTCGTCCAGCATTTTGAGGTCCCTGTGGGCCTCGTGTAAGCTCCTGAGGCGCCTTGACGTTACCTCTGTATTTTGAAAGTCGCCGTCTTTTAACAGCAGCTCCAGTTCCATAAGTTGTGATAAACCTGTTTAAAAACAATAAAAAATTGCTATTTTTTCAATGTATTTTCCAATAAGCAAATTAAAATTTAAACAGAAATGTTTTTTTCTGTTTACAAAAGTTCCGAGATTTCTTTTTTCGTCCTTACAGGTATTGCAGTGTATAAAATCAATTACGAATAAAATTCTTATGATATTCCAATTATTATCTAGTTTGATTTTAATCTTATAAAATATTGTTAGACTAACTTGTTTTTTTTTTCTTTTAACCGAATTAACATTTCTGTACCTTAATAAACTGTTTCTACAATTCCAGAATGCGATAAAGATTGTACAATATAATCAGATTTCTAAAGGTTCTCACCTATGACAAAATGAGTAAAATATTTTACCTATGATACAATAAGTAACTATATATTTCAATGCAATAATTTATCTTGTACATTTCAATGCTATAATGTAACTAGTATATTTAAGTTCTTTTTCAATGAAGTCCAATTTTTATTTATTACATTGACATTTTATATAGCTAACAATCCCTAAAAAGGTTTATCAGAAGGAACGAAGAGATTATTTGATGAATGAGTAATTTCTTTAGTTGGTGTTTATAGAATTTGAGAAAATAACACACACAAAAAGTACAAACTTTTGACTTGGAATACGACACAAAGTTCTTCGCTATATACTATGTAATTATCAAAATAGCCAATCAATGTATTGATAATTCTCTATGGAAACTACTGTCTGATTTCATTTAATAACAGGCCCCTCAGCGCTCTTTTTAACAAGTTTACATAGCAAGAATTCAAAACAAGATAGAAGTACGTGGAGAGACAGTCAAATAATTGTACAAATAGGATTGTCTCGACAGGAATTAAACCAGAAAATATTACACTTTAGGGATTTGATAACAAAAAGAAAACAGGCTATTAACAAGGAACAAAATTTCCCTAATCCCAAAGCATGAATATTGAAGTAATAATTAACCAATGATGATACTGTGCATGTTTCAATTAAGAAAGCAAGATTTCGATAATGTTCCTTTTTCTGCACTTAATTAAAGCAGAACTGACCCTTATAACCTTATAACATGGAAATAAGAAAACAATACCAGAATCCGTATCGTAAATATAGTAGAATTTCGTCCATTTATTATGAATGATGATGGAGGCTATAGCCCGGGTTGTATCTGGCTTCATGAAGATGGAGAATGGTTTGATCTGATGTGGGTTGTTGTCTGTGTTTGGGCTCAAATAAGGCATGTGAAACACACGAGTGTAAGAATCAAGGACTTCGTGGGAAATTTGAGACTGGGATCCTACTAGTGCAAAGACTCCATTTGACAAATGTCCACAAACTGTAAAAAAAAAAAAAAAAAAAAAAAATAGAGAGTACTTGTATGTAAGCTGTTTGTCCATTCATTTCCAAACTGTAAAATAATAACAGTTTGCTCCACCCTTATTATTATTTTGCTAAACACATGTTGATTGTACACACAAGTGCTTCAAAGTTGTATTTATTTGGTGATCAAGTCTTCCAACAAAGACTTGTTGGAATTTCCATGGGTACTATAACAGATCTATTTTTTATGAAGCAGAATTTCTTTTTTACAAAAAACTTCTACATGAAAAGAAATCTCTTCTTGTGGTCTTCGACATTTAGATATATCGACGACGTTTTGTCAATCAACAATATTCATTTTCAATCCTATGCTGAATCAATTTATATCGTTTTTAACTCAAAATAAAAGACATTACAGAGTCTTTTGGAGAAGGATTACAGAGTCTGCCACATCTGTTTCATACTTGGGTATTTTACTTAAAAAAGACATTAATGGCAACCTAACAACAAACTTAATGATAATCGTGATGACCTCAACTTTGACAGATAAGTTGATGATACAAGTACACCAGTCCCTATTAAAGTCAATAATTCGCCAATTCTATGGTCGATAAAATGATTTTGTTGGCAAATACAATCTATCGTTAAGTTGAATGTTGACTGACATTTTTCATACAAATTGTAAGGCCATAATTATTTTCACACTGAATTTTCTACGGGTTTTACCGTTTGCCCAATCATGACAAGGAGCATACGGCGGGTTTGAACGGTCGACAGGGGATGCTTACTCCTCCATGGCACCTGATCCCACCTCTGATGCTTTTGGAAGTCCGTGTTTGCTTTGCTCCCAATTTGTATTGTTTAAATGGACTTTTGAGCTTAATTACTGTTCGTTATCGTCATATTTCATATTTGGTTCATATCAATATTTTGTGATTCGTCTCCTTACAGAAGTAGTTAACAGTACAAGATATTTAACTGAGTAAAACATTTAAAATGTCTTAATAATTCCTCTTTAATATTTTTTGCAAACAAAGAACAAATGTTACGAGTTCTCTGATTTGCCACATGAGTACTGGGATTTTCAACATTATTTCCAAACTGAAAACACTTTAACAAACATATACGGTATTCGAGTGCTTACTTAAATCTGTTATTGTATTGGTTTTTTTTGGGTTTTTTTTTTTTTTTTTTTTTTTTGGTTTATTTAACGTCCCTTTTTCAATCATATTGAGAAGCCACCACTTGCCGGTGGATGGCTGCAAATTTAGACCTGTACTTTGGCATTTAAGGCCTTTGAGCAATGATGGATTTTTTCGTGTCAGCACTTACTGCGACACGGGACCTCGTATCCAAAGGACTGGTCTCCACGTCGCATAGTGAATTCGAACCTGCGAAGTAAGGATCAACTCCCTACAGCGCAACTCTAGAGCAAACGCTCTAACCACTGCGCCACGCGGATGACTAATGCCATAAAATGTTATCAAATACATATGTAAGATTTGAGAAGACGTAAAAAGGACTACTTTCAAGAAATATATATCTAAGTTCAGGAGTGTGAATTCTATTCAATATGGCTAATAATCAATTAGTTATGCAACATTTTGTGTCCCTAAGTTTGTGATAGTGGTTGTGCTGTCCAAATAATAAGATTAGATACACGTAACAATGTCAGAAAGTGTTCATGTTTCTCCATCAGTCAAATTCTTGTTTCTTAGACGTTAATGGCTGTTGATAAATTGATATATAGCGGGCGAGTCATTGAGGTCTTAAGCGAGTTTCCCCCTTTGCCCTCTTGGCATTCCCACTTTCTGATACCGAAAATCTGTATTAAACTTTGCTTCTTTATCGATTTTTGTTTCAAATGAAACGGTTACGAAATGGAATTATTAAGACTAGTTTGCTGACAGAACTCGGCTGTGGCGGAAGTGGCTTCACAGCGACAATGATTGATGGTCATGCAAGAAACCAGTTAAGCACAGCACGCGACACAACCTGTAAGCACACAGTATTTCAAATTTTAACCCAAACATATCCGTTTGAAAATATGTGTTAAAATTCTATTGATTGTTTAACTTGTAAGAAATGCTTGAAAATAATAATATTCCTTAAGGGAGCCATTCAGATTCGTAATAATTCAATCAGATGTGCAAGATTTCCTTTTTTCCTTTTTTTTTTTTGCTTGATGTTACATGTATTTTGCAATTTTTTGTTAAAATAATGCATTTTACAGATAGATAAAAATTTTCATCAGACATGATTTGTACTTTTTTGATTCGTGCATCAAACATCTCATGTAGATTGTATTACATTTGTGTTGTCATTAAGTGTGCTTTAAAGTGTTGGTTAGGTTTTTGAACACTTAGTATACATGTACAACAAATACAGACATTTTAATTAGTATGTACTACTTCCAGGTTTAATTTTAGCTGATTGACAGGGGTTCACAGACCAGGTTAATTTAGAGGCGGTAGTTATTTCCTCCCTCACGATCTAATGGGTAGATTTTTAAAGAAGCATAATTTTAATTTTTAACTTCAGAATTTGCATTTTTTCAAATCTGGAGTTTTCCTAATTAATTAGACTGATGGATAATCAAATACACAAACTGCCAATTACAAATTTCAACAAATTTTCTAAAGACTTAATCGACAGAATAATATCATAGTAATTAACCGGATATTACTACAATGAAACGTAAAAAAAAGAAAGAATCGAAAACTGTGTTCGTCAAGCAGACTTTGGGAAATTTATGAGACATAATCGCAATTTTGATGAAAATTTTATAGCCCGGATTACACGACACACGGACAGATTATTGTGAAAACAGAACAGGGAGTCATCAAGATATAATCTCTCTTATTTCATCGTCAGCCGAGCTGTCACTATAGATTTTACAAAAAGCCATCATTTCGGCGTCTCATTAGCACTTTTGAATAATAAGCCGTTACATGACCAATAAAGTCTCCGAATGAAGTCTCGTTGGCATTCTCGGATGGAATATGATATATAATTGATGATCCAACATTACCGAGAGTCCCTACAAAATTTCTTAATCATGTGGACTCTTTTCAATTACCCTTCTACAATCAAACACTGCTATAATGTCTTTACCGCGTCATAAAGTCCCTATTAAGTGTCCTCGAAAGGAGGTTTTAATCTGATAAAACCTTCGCAGCTTCTGTGAAATTGATTGGTCAGATAATTATCTTTGGTCCAAAGGTGTATCTTTTATCCATTAGTTTTTCGGTAACTATCTGTTCATTGCAAGTTAAGTCAATAAACTGTAGATATACAGAACTGCAGTGAGTCACACCTACTTTGTAAAGTACATGCATATTAAACATCAAAACTTCTTTGATCCTATCAAATGCGATTTTTGTGCCCCGCTTTCGCTAAAAGTAGAGAAAGGTTAAACGTCAAGGTCGGAAATTTATTTATTGAATAAAATGGTTTTTAGATGACAACTTAGTTCTCTTTGAGCTTTTGCAATGAAAATTTAAGATGATGAACCACCAACTTAAGAAAGACCCATATCGAATTGAAGTCAAAGGTCAAGGACAGAAATTTCTATTAATATTAAAATGGTTTCCGGAGGACAAGTTCTCTTTGTTTCCAATAAAAAATTAAGGTGATGACTCTCCCTAATTTGAGGAAAATCTGTTTTTGCAATGGTTTTGCAATGAAAAGTCGTATCATAACTCCCCATGAATTAAAGAATTCCGATTGATTTTTAATCTAAACGTTTAAGGCATATATCAGAAATTCATATACTGCATAGAATGGTTTTCAGATGATACAATATGTAAATAACGTTGGTTCTCTTTAAGCTTTTGCAAAGAAACTTAATGTGATGCTGTCTTTAACTTCAGACAACCTTTCTGATTTTGAGACCAAAGGTTAAAGGTTAAGGTTACAAATTCATATATGGTATGACTTGGTTTCCAGATTCACTTCAATACTGTCTTTAACTAAAATATGATTTCTTTTGATTTTGAAGTGAAAGGGTCAAAGATCAAGGTCATAAAACCCTTAATTAATTTGTTAATGTAATAAACTTGAATTAAAGCATTCAAAAGTTGTAAGCTTGTATATAAAAATATTCCGGTAAATGTTAAATCAGTAGCAATCGTTTTCATCTCAGTAGCAAGTTTTAATGAGAGAGAGCAAGAGAGAGATTCCAGTGGACTATTAACTCATAGTTTTAGATTATACACCTTTTGAAATTTTGTTTAATTTTAAAGAGATTGCAAAGAAGCAGAGGAGTTTTGAGTCTAAAGTATATGACCGAGGATCGTTTACCAGAGTATGGTGTGATTTCTGCAAAGAATTACCGGTTCACTTCAAAACTGGGAGTTAAATTTCCCTTTGGATTTGTCTTATTGCAGAAAATGTTTATTATGCACTTAAAACAAGGAATAAAAATGATTTCAGACGGGTTGTATGTACTCAGTCGACAATTAATGTGTCATTGTCTCTTTTCCTCGAATGATAATCACTTTTAGCATCACAGAATGAAAAGAACCTAGGAAAACTTGAACAACATTCATTAATTTGACATAAAAATATGTTTTTTGAGCCGTTGACGAATACTAAGTATTGCCATGTTATACGTTATGAGGATCCAAGATTATTCTCTGAGGCGTTCTAAGAGGACTCCTCTGTTTGTCAAAAAAGCACAGCTATACCGAGTAATAAATTAAGCTCTCATGCAAACCAGTTGTTCTGTAACCAAACCCGTAGTGTAGTACGGAAGCCCTGGAGGGATACTGACTTACTTTTTAGGTGTTATGGCTTAATTGTTAATTAATTTTTTGTTATTTTCATTTGTTATCATACGTTTACTTACCCCAAAACGTGGCGTACAAGATGGAGGCTACGTGTAGTTTCAGAAAAGATGAAAGAATAGTTTGCCGTTGAATTTATCACTAATGACAAGATAAAATAGTAGTTATGTTCATATGTTCAATAATTATGCACACTGGAAGTTGCAAATAAGAATTGTAATATGATATA